TATCTTCTGATTTATAGACAGGTATTATCCTAGCCCTTTTCCAATCATCAACAAATACACCCGAAGAAATTGGAAGGTTAAAGATACAAGTCAAAGATGGGGCAATAATGTTGCAAGATAATTCAGTATTTTAGGTGGTATCCTGTCAACCCCAGTTGCCTTGGATATTTTTGGATTAATATTGGGTATTGGTGCGATTCTTCATAATCAGATAAACGTGTTGCTTCAGCAGCGATGGTTGGTCCAATATTAATAAAATAGTAATATGTTCAGCTATATATTGGTGATCATTGTGTATATTTCCATCAATATTAATTTTTGCAATATTAGATGATTTCCCACCTTTGCCTAAGGGCATTTATCAGCGACCATGTTTTTTTTTCATGTCTTTTGCTAGAAAGTTCCTTAATTTTTGTTTGATAATAGGCAGTTTTGATCTATATTTTACCCAATGTACCTCATAATTATATTTCTTTGCTTTTTTCTTTAGAACAGCTAATTCAGGAACTGACTAGAGTTACTACAATATCTTCAACTTTGATTCATCTGGTATTTACCAGTCAACCTAATAACATTTCCAATAGTGGCATTATTGATTTGAGAATGTCAGATCACAGTTTAATTTATGCAGTTGAAAAAATGACCATGCCAAAATACAAACAAACCCATCTCCAGGTTAGAAACTTTAAAAGATTTAATGAGAATAATTTTATGCAGGAACTATCCGGATGAGGAGGACCTGAACAATAGTTGGCAAATTTGGAAATCCTTTTTTCTAGAATTTTTTACTAGACTCTTTACCCCAAATTTAAAGCATCATTCCGTCCCTTGGATGAATTCCAATATTAAAAAACTAATAAGATCTAAAACGTTTCAAAGTGACATGATAAAGTGACATGATAATACTATGCTAATGAACTCAGGGATGGGGGGGGGGATTGTGCCAGCTCTGGTGTCGAGTTGTGTCAGTCATGTGCGCTGCCAGCCCATAAACTTGCTTGACTACTGCCAAGTCTTCCTTGGCTACTGTATTTGAATTGTAATTGTTGTTTACAGTTTTTTATCATCATGTTATTACTCAAATTACTGTATATCATTTTGTCTCTGTTTTTTTACTTCATCATAAAAAATAGCCCCCCCTGCACTCCTCTGGCCAGGGCTGGTACAGTACCTTTCTCAAAATATGTTATTGATTTTGTTAAATTACTTTTCCCTTGTAACGGTCTACCTTTTCTATTTGGTGTCAACACTCAATCCAAACCATATGCATTGGTTACCGAATTTGATGTACTTGATGGAAATTGTGTAACAGTTGGTCATGCAGCAAAGAACCTCTCCCTAGCTGTTATGGAATGGGCATTTATTTTGGAGAAATATTGTGGTGCTCTTGATCATATTGACAAAAAAGGGGGTACATTCATTGTGATATTAAACATGATCACATTATTTTGCACAACAGCACAGGCATTAGAACACCAGTCGTAATTGATTTTGGGAAAATGTAAAGAAACTGAGAATGTAAGACTTTATAAACTGAACTCAAAGGAGCGGGATCACTATTTAAAATTTTACAAACATATAGCTCCAGAAACAATTTGGGGAAGAAGTCCCCCATCTCCAGCCAGCGACATTTATTAATTTGGTCAAGTCATTTCATTGGTTGTTTATTACACTAAATCAACTGGTCTACAGAAAATAGCCAAACAATGTTATTAATGGAACACCTGAACGATGACCTGAAGTTGTTGATATAGCTTTAGAGCTTAACAAACTTAATGAAAATACCTAGAACACCGATCCAATACCTGAAATATAGATTAATATTTTGTACAGTAGTTTAACTTAGTATCATAGCTTGCATCAATTTACATGACTAAAATGTGTAAAATCTGTCTACGTCATGACAGAGTTCAGTTGTTAATCCTTTTTATTTGTTGTCAATCCTTTTGTCCAGCATTAGACAGAGTAAAAGTAGGCCCTATAATAAAGTAGGGGACACCATGAGGCAGGGTGAAATTGCGATAAGGGGAAAACTGGTTTGTGCAAAAGTTATATAGTACATGTATAAAACATAGAGACAAAGTATTCATATTTCTATCAATATTTCTAGTTTTATGTTTTCTTTAATGCTGTATATGTCTTCGACTTTGGGCAAACAACCACTAGATACAGTATATTTTAGGTTTTCCTGTAAAGAAAATCTAAGGTTAAAATGATATATCAATGCGCCCAATATCAGGGCTCATCAGCATGTCCAGGAAACACGGAAAGCCAAGGAAACACGGAATGGCACAGGGCAAGCTTGTGATTCTGACAGTGGCATGCTGGGTACTATTCTTCTGGGGGGCAGTGGGCTATCAACTAATATGCGCCCCCTATATTGTAACGCTTGATAAACGAGGGGCGAAGGCAGGTGAGCCGAGCACCGCAGGTGCAAGGGGGGTCCAAGAGCATGCCCCCTTGGAAAATTTCTGAATTTAGGGTCTCTAAAATAACGTGTCAAAATTTGCAATTTGGTTAGAATTTAGTATTAGTACTTCAATTGAGCAATGCTAATTAATTTCAGCGATTAATCTAATCCCAATTCTATTCTCTACTGATCTAGTGATCTGAATACATTTACAACTTACAGCTCTTTTATACAATAACACACAGACCCCACGCATATGGATTTTAAGGTTTCCTTGCTTGCCTGCCAAAATGGCATGTTTCAGCATCATCTTATTATACTTACATTACATTATGAATCACAATGCCTCTTGCACAAACAACTAAATTGCATACACAACTTTATATTATCATTATATAACTATCTAATTTGCGCCACTCTCGTTATTCATGAAAGGCATAATATAAGGGCATAATACCAGCAAAAAAGGGCATAATCCTGTGATCACTTCCGCAGAACCTGACCAATATTCCAGTAATGAGACATTGTGTGTACTCTATATGAACGATTTTGTGTTAGCTGTGAGATAGGCTGGCAAATTAGCAAATGCAGTAATAATATATCACTTTGTTGTTTATGCACTTTGTTGTTCTATGCACTTTGTTGTTCTATGCACTAGTTGTTTATGCACTTTGTTGTCTATGCAATTTAGTTGTGTTGTTCTGCCTATAAACACATTGTTTCTTGCCATAAGTTACTATATTTTTTCAAATGCGTTTTTTCTCACCCACTTTGAAAATTTGGCGCCCCCTTTTCAGACCCCCCTGCCAGCACACCACTGGATTCAGACATGGACAGCCCTTATTCAAGGCCTAAATGGGCAGACTGGTTTTAAGGTACCAGCACCCACCTTCACACCTTTGCCAGAAAGCAAAATGGAACTTTATACATGTGAAATTGCTCCATTTTCACGCCAATCCCAGTCAATTTCAACCCTTTACCCCCCTGCATGGTCCTAATCTTGTTATAATTATGTGTATAAACTAAAACACAAGTTTTAATCTTTGCATGCAACAAAACATAATTTAACAAAGAGCATTAATAAAACCGAATCAAAAACCTCTTATAGTATCCAGGTGATCTCGTGTTCGTATTTTAGCCAATCAGTGCTCAGAAAGGGTTGTCCAAATAGAAATCCATTTTGATGTATTCAGTCAATTATATCTTTCGTTATTCTTTATGAAACTAGTTGAAATTTTGTAATTATGTTTGGTTATGAGAACTATAGCTCTGACAAAAATATGGAATCGAAATAAAGTATATTACAGGAGATATTCAGTTGTTTTAATCATAAAATGGATTTCTATTTGACAACTAGTGCCAGTACTTTTCCGCGTATCAAGATCATCTGGATAACAATATTCGATAATAAAAAGTGCCAAATCTTTAACATGTTCACATTGACACTCTGCAGATAAATTTATATGTGATTTTTTTTCTGATTGGATTTCTAAGACAAAAGTGATCAATCAATGTAGTGTTTGGTTTGCGATTGTTACAGTTTTATTGTGTTTCATTGCTATAATCAACAAATCGTATTGGCTTGTGGCAAATCTATCTAATGAAGTTTAATGTTTCTATAATGCTAATCGCTTTACTTCCGTATGCTGACTTTGAACCAAACTGTTGGTTGAAAATTTCAAAGGTACTATATCTATTAATAGTTCTGCTTTATAGCTGTTCAATTACAATATAGTTCCCTGGAAACATGGTACTGTAGATTTTAAACAGAAGAGACAATTCCCCATTATCAACACTTCTTTCTTTGTAACAGAGGGGTAGTTTTATAGCAGAATTATTTTTCCAATCAATCACGTTCAGACATTGAAGAAGTTAAGGAGTTCCAACATTGTGAAAACTGAATAATTATTTTATACTAAAGCGATGACATCTTCAAAGTATGGGTGTAAATCTTTGTCCAGAATCATATTGTCTATGAACCGTTGTGTTGCAGCTCAATTGACCTGCTGTTAGTTGTGAAGCTTCCGAGTATGCCATTACAATGCTCAAAACTGAAGCACTAGAATGAGTGGATGGGTCTTTAATCACAAATAATGTCTTTGAAATGACAGTGCAAATGCATATTAGGTGTACAAAAGTTACAAAGGTGTACCATATATCATTTCACATTCTGTACCGAACTTCAACAGCAAAAAGTTTGCTCACATGATGTCACCATTGGATACAATGGGCTTGCACAAATACCTACATGCCAATACAAATGACTACCAGCACTTAAGTTGTTGTTCGGGTAGAACACCTTTTAGTGCATGTAAGGAGAAGACAAGAATGTTCCACTGTTCTGCAGTGTACAAACTGTAATTTGACGAAATTACCTTTTGGCTGTCTTCCAATGTCAACGGGTACCTCAAGTCCATCTATTCTTCTTTCTAATGTCACCAGGTCTTTTTTGTTCAGTATTCCTTCTGTTACCCAGTGCTTAAAGATCTATTTTGCGGTGCCAAAAAAAAGATTGTGCATCAGGTCTATGGAACAAACCTTATCACATCGAAATACTCAAGCTTTAACAATTCACTGTAATACTTCATACCATACTTTCTTGACGTCTCCAGATCTTCCTTCGTCTTGCATTGTGACATTTTGTTTGCTTGACGCCTGTGGTCTTCACTCTTACATTTTGGCCAGTTTTCTTCGTCAAACCCCAAGTAATCTTGTTTTCACAAAAACCGCCTGAACTGTGGCCTTTAAACCCAGACAGTTTTCGTGATGCAGGTATATCTGAAGAGGTGTACAACAAGGCTGCTTTGAATATGAGTGGTATTCCACTAAGACTTGATACCAAATGAACTCCATTCCACATCACTTTCAGTTCCTCCATGAGAGGCTTCAGGAAAGAATTCAAATGTCATGTAATATGTCAAAGTTAAGCATTTGGTCCATAGTTTCTTGGAGCATTTAAGAAATCACAGCCGTTATTCACTATATTCATAACATGCAGTGCATTTGGGACAAACAACATACTTAGTGAGTGAAATTATCGCGATCTAAAACAAGAATCTGGTGAACCATATACAGTGAGGTTGGAAATATTGCTATATGTTCTGACAAAAGCTCACTAGTTACATGGATATTCAAAACGTTAAGGAACTGTAGAAGAAAATGCAACAACCATGCTAGGCCATTGTCACTTACATGGCAAACACCTTGCCAGATTAAAGAAAATACAACAACCATTGAAGAATGGAATTGGCAACTTGCACTTTTCATGATCATCTTGATCTAGTAGCTGCTCTGATACCTCAGGCCAAATTTAATCATCAGTGTTATCAGCTTCTGACAACTTGCTATTTGCCTCATCATTGCAATCACCTGAGCTTGCATAATTTTCAGTAACCTAAGCTACATAAAAGAAACCAATTAACTGTTTGTCCCATCTTGCAAAACACACTCCTGAATCCATAATAAATAGTTGTAAACTCAACTTGGCTTACAGTCTCTGTTAGTATGCAATAAATATATGCAAAAATGTAAATATTGTACCAATAAAACAATGGCAAGTCCTTAATTGTTCAAGCCAAGGATAGGTTACTTCCATTGCATTGGTACAAAATCCATTACACAATATAGAAATGTAGATGTGGCTAAATAGAGCCACATGGATAATTGGGGATGGGCAACATGGCAGCCCTGGCCTTGCTGACTATAAGTGTACCCCACCGGAATTAGGACCCGGAAATTACATACCGGAACTTGATATAGTATGACGTAACGGGAAAATGCCCGGATATAAAAAAACATGTTGTCTTGATTTAGTTTTGAGAGTTATCGAAAAAAGCGTTGTAAAATACCGAGGAAAACATACGAAATAAATATAAGTAATACACCGAACCTGTGTGGAAACTTAAGTAACAAATTGGGGGCTCAGGCGGGAATTCCTATGTGGAAAGATGAGGTGTTTAAAGTATTGTTTGATGATGTTTTAACGTGCAAGTAGCGACAAATTTTATAAACTGAATACGAGCTATGGCCGCCGATGATAAACAAATTATTTTGGACACCAAAGTACTGTCTCTCGGAAAGAGCGAACTGATCGAATTTGCCTTGTCGTTGAAGATTGATAAATCAAAGGTAGAAGGAAAGAGTAAGATACAAATAATTAAAGAGATTCGTAATGCACTTGAAGTAACCTTAAGTACTTTTACCGAGGAAGGCGATAAAGTCAACTATTTAGATGGGTTAATTTCTCACTTAAATCCCGAGACAAGCGAAACTGGGGCCAAAATATCGGAAGAACAAACTGAGATACAAAATCTCGAGAAGGAATTGTCGGAACTCGAAATAAAACGAAAGGCGATTGAAGATAAACTGTCGCATATGAAGAAATCTAAAATTTCTGAAAATGAAAGTGGAAGTACCACTAAGATTTCTGCTGAATCAGCAAAATCACCTTTGTTTGGGTTGAGTTCTACGATTCTCCATCGAGACTTCAAAATCCAAGGTATTATTGGGCAACCCTCCCAAAAAGATAAGTTGGGCTACCAAGCTTTGATGTCTCAGATAGAGACGGGTAAAGATAAAGGCTATTCAGACAAAGAAATTATGACCGCTGTTATTCGGGCTGTGCAACTGGGGATGCAACTTAGAAGTTATCTTGAAAGTGTGAGTGGGTTGACCCTACCTAAAATGCGCAAAATATTAAGGTTCCATTTTCATGAGAAAAATGCGACTGAACTTTATCAAGCACTGACAAACATGACACAACAACCAAATGAAGACCCACAAGCATTTCTTATGCGTGCACTTACTATCAGACAAAAGATAATTTATGCTTCAAAGGAAAGTGACAGTGCTATTAAGTATGACGGCGCATCTGTGCAAAGCCTATTCCTACACGCTCTTGAGACTGGGTTAAAGGATGAAACTATACATGCCAAAATACGCCCATTGACCGACAATGCTAATGTGTCAGATGAGCAACTCATCGAAGCTGTGTTTATGGCTGTTTCTGCATCTTAGCCATTCTCTAAATAAGGTTCGGGACACGAAAGCTCGTGTTTCTGCACTACAGAATGAGGAAAACGTGGGCGAAAAGAGGGAAGTTTTAGCTAAACAAGTTAGAACTGAGTTATCAGCAGTGCAGTCTGAAGTTAAAACACTTTGTGAGACAGTTAGCCAGCGAAATTCTGAAGAACAACCCGAAGGCCAAAGTAGGAATGTAGCACCCACTAAGAGATCAGAGTGTGACAAGTGTAAAACATCTGGGGAAGAATGTAATCACTGTTTTCATTGTGGTGGGTTAAACCACATAGCACGATATTGTCGGTCACAATCAAGAAACCCTTCGGGAAACGGTCGAAGGCTACCCCCGCGGGACAGGGAGTAGCCAGTGAACAAAATACGACGTCCTCATTGTAGTAATTGCTTGAAAATCTTAACGAACCCGCTGTAACAGTGTTCTCGATGCAAGTCAGTTTTATATTGCTCATTAGAATGTCAACAACAACACTGGTCTAGTCATAAAAACTTATGCAATGCCATCAACAAGATAAATAAAATAGAACACGAGGCAAGTCGTGTCATGCCAGGTGACAGTCTAGACAAACATGTTTTTCCTAGTCACATAGCACCAGCACGTCAGGCTCAGGTTGCTCGGCTTGTTGGCAATAAGTGTTCTGTACGTTGTCGTTTTAATGATGAAGCTATCACTGCATTATTTCTGGTTGGGTATGTTTGGGCGAATTTGGTGAAATGATCAACTACTACGAGTATGTATTGATATCCACCTGAACTCTGTTCTAGGTGCATAAAATCGATTGATATCATCTGAAAGGGCGCTGTTGTAACGATCGGGTGTAAGGGTGCCACGGTGTGATGACTCGGTTGTTTTTCCTTTATGCATCAGCATGTCCGCTGTATGAAATGTTCGATATCTTTCCTCATATTAAGCCAAAAGAATCTTTCTCGAGCAAGGGCTAACACTCTTTCTACCCCCATGTAATTCGCGGTAAACCAACCGTTTGAATTTCTGAGGCAGGACCAGCTGTTGATTATGATACAGCAAACCGGTCTTCTTATCAATGTGTAAATGTTTCCATTTATTTAAGAACTTCCGTACTTGGGGTGGTTCTCGGCGTTGATCAGTTACTTTCGGCTTTTCAATCAATCAATCAATAATTTATTCAAAGTACCTACAATAATATTGAGGCCCTTGCAGGAGATCTGGAGGTTAACCCTACATAAAGATCACCTTTACCTATTACTAAGTTAAAATACCTAAATGTTAAATTACAAGTACATGTCCATGTTCGACTTCAGTTCTCTTTTAAATTCTCTAATGTTATTTACTTCTACAACCGAGTATGGTAAACTGTTCCAGTCACTGATAATCCTTACAAATAGTGAGTATTTGTAACAATTAATTTTGGGTAGTTTAGGATATAAGGTGTATTGGTGGTTAGATCTTGTCCTCTTGGAGTGTCTATATTCTAAAACTTCGCTGAATATTATGCCGCCATTAAGTTCAAATACTATCTTGTAGCACTCTACTAGGGAAAGAAACTTTCTACGTTTTTCTAGTGTGTCCCATTTTAGCAATTTACAACTTCGTTGTATGGCATTTCGCCTCGTTTCTGTTTCAGAGCAATTCTCGATGCTCTTCTTTGAACACGTTCTAGGGCTTTCACGTCTTTAACCAGATATGGCGACCAAACTGGCGCTGCGTATTCCAAGACAGGTCTCACCAAGGATTTATATAATGTGGAAAAAATGCTCGTACTTGAAAAACCGATAGTCCGTTTAATTAAACCAACAATGCGGTTAGCTTTCTTAACTGTCGAGGCAACCTGATTACTCCATGATAGATCACTAGATACAATTACGCCTAGATCTTTAAATTCGTTCACCACTTTTAGTTTCTTGTCAGACAAGTAGTATTCGGGTATTGATTTATCTTTATGATGAGTTATCCGCATAACTTCGCACTTATCAAGATTGAAGCTCAATTGCCACAAATTTGTCCACTCACTCATACGGTTCAAGTCTGACTGAAGTATTTCCCCGTCGTTCTCTGGGTCCGATAGCTTTCGGTACACTTTTGTATCATCTGCAAACAGCTTGACGTGACTTACAATTTCATTCGGGAGATCGTTGATATAAATTAAAAACAGAATAGGTCCTAAAATTGTTCCCTGTGGTACCCCTGATGTTACATTGGTGATAGTATTTGACGATTTGTAAGAAAGTTTCTAAACCATTTCAGTAAAGCCCCTCCAATACCGTGCTGTTCCAACTTATACAGCAGACGTTCGTGTGGCACGCTGTCAAACGCTTTACTGAAGTCCATAAAAACAACATCGGTTGCTTTTGTATCGTTTCTAGTCTTTGCCCAGTCGTTGTAGCATAATAATAATTGGGATAAAGTAGACTTGTTCTTGAGATATCCAAATTGATTTTCATTAAATACTTTCTGACTGAGCCAAAATTCAACTAATCTATCCCGAACAATCTTTTCTGCTATCTTAGATATAATAGATGTTAGTGAGATTTGTCGGTAGTTTTCTCTCTTGCATTTCAAATTTTTTTTTACAGCTTACAAAACTGTAGAACACGTTTGATCGTTGGATCTTCCTGCTGGCGTTTGAGGATGTCGATTACTTTCAGCCTGCTTGTTTGTGTAAGGAAAAAGGACGGTGGAATGAGATTGTGCGTTGACTTCACAGAATTGAACAAAAACACAATACCAGATCGTCATCCAATCCCACGAATATAGGAAACATTGGATGGCTTGGGAGGTAAATCCTGGTTTAGTGTCCTGGATCAAGGCAAGGCTTATCACCAGGGATTCATTGGAGAAAAGAGCCAACATTTGACCGCCTTTATAACACCATGGGGCCTTTATGAGTGGGTCCGAATACCCTTCGGACTGATGAATGCTCCAGCAAACTTCCAGCGTTTTATGGAGAATGCCCTCAGAGACGATATATGTATTCCTTATTTGGATGACATTATTGTGTTTTCAAATTCCTTTGCAGACCACATTGAGCATTTACGTAAAGTACTTCGAAGATTGCGAAGCCACAGAGTAAAATTAAAGCCATCAAAGTGCACTCTGTTGAAACGTGAGGTGTCCTTTTTAGGCAGAATCGTCTCACAGAATGGTTATCGTATGGACCCCAAAGCCACCAGTGCTGTGGAAGCCTGGAAGAACACTAAACCACGAACAGTTGGGGACAGAAAATTAATGGGATTCCTTGGTGTTTATCGTAGACATATCAAAAACTTTGCTCAAAACCAATGTATGAGCTCTTGAAAGGACAATCTAGTTCAACCGGTCACGAGAAAGAAAAGAGAAAATCAGCACTATCAGGAAAACAAAGACAACTGTCATTGCGTACATCCGTGGAATGGACTTCAATTCACCAATCAGCATTAGAAAATCTATTAAACGAGGTCACATCCCCTCCTATTCTAGCGTACCCGAATTATGAGTTGCCTTTCGTGGTTCACACCGACGCGTCACAGGAAGGCCTGGGGGCAGTCTTATATCAAGAGCAAAATGGAATCCTACGAGTTATCGCATATGCATCAAGAACATTAAGCCCTTCCGAGAAAAATTACCATTTGCACTCAGGGAAGTTGGAATTTTTAGCCTTGAAATGGGCGGTAACAGAACATTTCCGAGACTACCTATATTATGCTCCAAAGTTCCTGGTCTACACTGACAATAATCCCTTGACCTATGTCCTTACCACCGCGAAATTGAACAGTACGGGACTACGATGGGTTGGCGAATTAGCTGAATTCAATTTTGACATTCGATATAGGCCTGGTAGGATAAACACGGATGTGGACTGTCTCTCGAGACCACCCTTAGAGATACGCGAATATATGACAAGCTGTAGCGAAGAGATCTCTCTAGAAACCATCCAAGCGACTATTTCCTCTGTTGAAGCCCACGCAGCCGGTGATGTAGTTTGGTTGACAGCTGTAACGGACGAGACTAAAGAAATGGAAGCTGATGAACTGTTCGAGAGTACAACGTCAAGCAGGCTGAAAGTAATCGACATCCTCAAAGGCCAGCAGGAAGATCAAACATGTTCTACAGTTTTGTAAGCTGTGTCAAAAGCCGAAAGGTCCTGCCTCAGAAATTCAAACGGTTGGTTTACCGCGAATTACATGAAGAAATGGGACATTTGGGGGTAGAAAGAGTGTTAGCCCTTGCTCGAGAAAGATTCTTTTGGCTTAATATGAGGAAAGATATCGAACATTTCGTACAGCGGACATGCCGATGCATAAAGCAAAAACAACCGAGTCGTCACACTGTGGCACCCTTACACCCGATCGTTACAACAGCGCCCTTTCAGATGATATCAATCGATTTTATGCACCTAGAACAGAGTTCAGGTGGATACCAATACATACTCGTAGTAGTTGATCATTTTACCAAATTCGCCCAAACATACCCTACCAGAAATAAAAAGGGAAAAACTGTCGCAGATATTATCTTTAATGATTTTGTCCAGTGGTTCGGATTTCCGGAAAAAATACACCACGACATGGGCGGAGAATTTGAGAATGAGTTATTCAAACGTCTGGAACAGTTGTCTGGAGTGATGCATTCACGAACAACTCCTTATCATCCCCAAGGAAACGGATTGGTTGAAAGGATGAATCGAACACTACTAGGGATGCTTCAAACTCTCCCCGAAGCTTACAAGTCTCGATGGAAAGACCACCTCAGCAAGCTGACACACGCATACAACTGCACAGTCCATGAATAGACAAACTACTCCCCGTTTTATTTGCTGTTTGGACGTAGCCCAAGATTACTGATCGATTTGATATTTGACTTACCACAAACATCCGATACGACATCACACTCAGACTATGCATCAAAATGGAAGACTGCTATGCAACAAGCCTACACACTCGCACACAAGGCGACTTCAAAGAATGCGGCGAAGGGTAAGAAGAATTACGATCGACGAGTCAGGTGTTCAAGTCTTGAACCGGGAGATCGCGTGCTAGTACGCAACCTCACGCCTAGAGGAGGTCCAGGTAAACTTAGAGCATATTGGGAGGAAGCTCTACATGTTGTTGAATCGCGTAAAGGTTCGGACAGCCCAGTATATGAAGTGAAGCCAGAGTCGGGTCATGGTCGAAACCGCACACTTCACCGTAATCTCCTATTACCATGTGATTTTCTTCCGATTGAAAATTGGCCAGAAATCGAGCGGACAGTTATTAAAAGAGTTCCTCCCAGAAGTTCCATCTCAAAACCCGGCAACGAAGAAACAGACGAAGAAGAGAGCGTAGATGAAAGTGAAGATGAAATTCGCATTACTTGGAACACTGACAAAATTAATAATGCTGCAGCTGCAGACGGAGATTTCGTTGGTGAACCGAACCCAGACATTGCCGTCGATGAAGCAGATGGTGGCGACGCCACAGACGAGTCTTGGGCTGATGATGAAAACCATGAAATAACTGGAGATGAACAGACGATGAACAAGAAGAAGTACGTGATGTGCGTTCGCAACGAAACAGGCAACCGCCCCAGAGATTAACTTACCTCGACCCAGGGAACCCAGCTTACCTTCGACCCATCTGCAGCGAAGTCGCCAATCAATTTTACCCCATGTCACCACACGTACCAGCTATGCCACTATACCTACCACCTATACCACCATACCTACCACCTATACCACCATACCTACCACCACCATACCTACCACCACCTATGACACCATACCTACCACCTATGCTACCCGTAGTACCTACTCCAAGTGAAGTACAACCCTTTGGATCAGTACCTCTAAAGTGGCTTCCTATACCTTGTCACCCGTATACGTGTCCCCCTGTGATGCCTCTGAACTGGCAAAACCCACCTTTTCCCTACCCAATCCAGTCATATTAACCTTATACCCTTAGTTATTGAGTTAGAACGTTATGAGAAAAACCCAATAAAACGGTGTTACTTGGCGAAGTAAGACTCTTTGCTGAATATTAATCAGGATGGTTATTGAAGGACAGTAGTGAGATTTTGCGAGATGGGACTGATCACCCCACTCTTGGAATCATTTAAGATCCCGAACACGAAGTAGCTACTTGCATGAGCATAAGAATTATCCTGTATTAATTTGTTGAAATAGCGATTTCATTTAGAGGGGGAGAGTGTACCCACTGAGCTATACTTAATATATCTGGAGATCGTGCTCCAATACCTCGTCAGTCAAAAATGTGTGGCCAAAAACATGGCGGATTTTGGCCAAATTTACGTCATTTTGATGTCACAATCGACCTAAATTTATGGTGAACACCACTGACCTAAAATACTAACAAAAAAGTTATTCACACCCCCCTTTCAATTTGCTTAAAACAGAAGGAGTAAAATAGTAAATTCAAAATTTCGGTCGGAAATTTCTATATTGAAACGAGACATTTGCAACCATGCCAACTTTTTGTTCAATTCCTGGTTGCCAAAAATCTACTGAAAGAAAGGACCTGTCCTAATATGCGTATTATGGCTCGTATAATCTCTTTTTTTGTAATAATTTAACACATGCTGTATTTGCTGTATTGAATGCGTAAAATTGTGAATTCATGAAATTTATTGGCAAGCAACATACAATACAATTTATGTTAGTGTACTACAGTGCAAAAGCAGAACAAAATTTTAAAATATTGACAAGCTTGTGGAGCTGTTGTCGAGCAAGTATTTATTTTCATGCAAGTTGATGGATGTGATGCAGTGATGAAATCCTATCGATATCCTAACAGATAATGCTATGTTAAAAAATTTCAAATGAGATTTTTAACAATGTGATAAAGTACAAAGCCTTTCACTCATTGTATTGTCTTTATTGTGGACTAAACCATGTGTTGTCTAGTGTGGCATTGTTTATATTGTAAGTTATAGGTATCGTATTGAACAGTGTATTAACTAGACACTAAAAACAATTGTTCATTTACTTCAAAGCTTTCCAGATGAGAAGAGATTCCCTGAATTGCACAGTATATGGGTGAAGAATATAAGCAAACTTATGCCAGACAGAGTGAAGTTTGTTCCTATGAAAAATAGTCGTTTGTGTTCAAAGCATTTTAGTGCCGATATCTTTGAGGAGGATTACAGCCAGAGACCAGTGTTAAAGCCATATGCTGTACCAACAATCTTTAATGATTGCTTTGGTCAGCTTGGTTGTGATCTTTACAGTTTATTATCAGTACAATTAATGGTCATACTGTACATGAGGGGTAATTAACCCATTAAGCGCCAGTGCTCTCCCCTTGACGAGTAAAATTGTCTGGCGTTAGACAGAGTAAAATTGTCTGGCGTTAGACAGAGTAAAATTGTCTGGCGTTAGACAGAGTAAAATACTAAAATAGGGTGCTTAGCCACTCAATGGGTTAAATTTATTCCTTAATTTTTCTGCTAACAACTTTAAGTTATTTGTACACATTTTGGTCTGTTTAGCTAAGCCAAGATTGCTACATTTACATTTATTTTGACTATTTGTGTTAGTGTACAAATTAGGCTAGCATAATTACTGTAGGTGCGGACCATCAAGTAGGGATTGACATGCATAGAATTGGTTGAGCAGTTTATTTAATTAAATTGGTGTTGTATGTGTTTAAAAATAAAGAATAAATTTTGTTGTGATTTGAAATTGAATATATTATTTGTAATTATACAATTATCTTGGAAAATCTTTTTTTGAATAAAATATTTTATTTAATAATTCTTCACTGTCGTTCCAATTGAAGTGTTCCTCAAATATTGATTCAGTACATTACCTCGGGCTAACCAGTTCATTTGATTAAGTTCCTCAAGATATTCATACACTTCCTAGTATAATTGTAAACTTCCTGTTAAATGGTTTGAATGCACCAATCACCTTTGTTGTTTGTGCAACTAACCAATCATAAATAGAAAGGAAGTGACCAGAAATGATTAAATACTTGGAATTGGCTCCTTCACAGGAAGTGTATGAATATCTGGAGGAACTTGATGAAATGAGATGCTTGTGTGATGTTACTCTGAGTGTATATCCACACCGGGCAGGCTTGAAAAATATGCCTGGCCACAGTGGGATTTGAACCTACGACCTTTGGCATACTAGCCCAAATGCCAATGCTCTGTCAACTGAGCTATGCGGTCAGGTCGGTTTGAATCCCAATGTGGCTTGGCATATTTTTCAAGCTTGCCCGGTGTGGATATGCACTCAGAGTAACATCACACAAGCATCATATTCACAAATATCATGGTTATTAGATTACACTGATATCGAAGGAACTAGACTCAGTTCCGAAATATCGCATACTCGAACTGCCCCGACTGTATAGCTCAGTTGGCAGAGCATTGGGCCAGTATTCCAAAGGTTGTAGGTTCAAATCCCACTGTGGCCAGCCATATTTTTCAAGCCTGCCCAGTGTGGATATCCACTCAGAGTACGTAACATCACACAAGCATCTTATTCACCTGAGTACATGTATTACACCAACACAGCAAATATCTTGATGGAATGAATTGGTCAGCCCGAGGTAATGTATTGAATCAATATTTGAGGAACACTTAAAAATAAGGTATGAATCGCATAAAATGCAGATATCAAAATCATACATTGTAACTCGAGCATAAAAATGTGCATATTTGTTTTAAAAGGCGATTGTTCCTTGAATGTTCAATGAAATAGTGCCATTGCCTTTTACAAGGAAGACCATTATAAAGAAATACACTTGACTTTCTTCATTGCCATCTGGTACTTAGTACAGATATCCCATAGTTTCTTGATAAATTCATACCTGAAAGCGGAATACATACAGGTGTAAAAAACTTTAATGGTGATATAAGTGCTTTATATTCCAAAGAGTTGCTTTTCCCCACAATTTACTAATAGAATAAACTGGTATTAAAATCTCTAAAAAAACCTTTGTCACTCAGGGAAATTTATAGCAGTACGGTTTTCAACAAGCTATATTTGCTTCATTTTACTTGCTGGGATTGTTATAATA